AAAAAAAAAAAAAAAAAAAAAAAAAAAAAAAAAAAAACATACAGACGAATTGAGTACCTCCTTCTTTTGGGAAGTCGGTCAAAAATACAAATCTTTCCTATTTATAACATTTAACTAACAATTGTAAATTATGTTATAAATGTGTAAGATGGATGGATGTTTGTGTTCCAAAATGACTTAACGGATATATATTTTGTCACAAATAGAACATAAGTAGCCTATGTATGTTCTTCCAGATTAAGTATTTTTATTAATTCAACGAACGAAATCGCATGCAAAAGGTAGTAAATCCATTGTAGAATCGATCTCTAGGAAGCAATATTGATTTAGGACACTCTACTTTTCTGATTTTTTTTTTTATATAACAAGGTGGCAAACGAGCAAGCGACCACCTGAAACTGCCAAAATGGCGAAGCGACTGCTGCCCATAGACCTCCGCAATTGCAGATGCGTTGCTTACCCTTATCCGACGGAGGAGGAGACGCACATAAGGAGGATATTTCCCCTTCCTACGCATCTCCTCCACCGTCAAATCCACTTCCTCTTCCCAATCTCTCCTTATAAGAAAAGGGTGGTAAAGAGAAAGGGACTTAAATTAGGCCTCCGGCACCACACTCATCAGACGAAACACGAAATTGCTCCCATTTCACGCCTGTCTTCTGTGTGGTCGTGGTATTACACCGGGCGTGCCGGCCCATTCGTGCTAAGATGTTAAAGCGGACACTACCACTGTATGTTCTTTAACTGGTTTAGTCTGAAAATTGTACTTAAAAAGCGCTTAGTTCTATTTTAGTTACGGTAAAGGAAAACATCGTTATATATTTTTTTTAACAGAAGGGGGCAAACGAGCGGCGGAACAGAGGTGGTCAACGACGCCCGGACATCCGTAACACCAAAGGAACTACAGATGCGTTGCCTTTAAAGTAATTGTAGGCTCGCTTCTTGAAGTACCCTAAGTCGCGGTTTTGAATAGCCTGCGAAGAAATTCAAAGATATCTGAGAACAAACAAACTCTAACAAACATCCATACATCCATCTAAACTTTCTCACTTATAATATTAGTATGATAAATGCTATAGTTTAGATGGATGTTTGTTAGAGTTAACCTAAACTGCTGAACGGATCTCGATGAAATTCGACATAGATGTAGAGAATAGTCTGGAAGGACACTTAGTCTACATAGTTTTGTTTATTTAATCCCATGGATGGAGTCTTGAGCGAAAGCTGGTTTAAAACAAACTCAAATCCTGGCTTATCTAGAAAGCTCTCTAGTGTAGAGTATTGTTTTTACTATAATGATTTGCTTGATGTTTGTAGTTTTTGTTCAGAATATCTGTGTAATTTTCATACTGTAACCTGTAATGTATTATTAACAATAAAGTATTTTTATTATTATTATTTGTGTTTTAATTGGTCTAAGAGACGAATAATAAAGGGAGATAACCTTGATGTATACGGGCAGCGATTGTTCCACTTTTTCCGTCCCTCGTTTACGTTATTATAAAAAAATCTAGTCTACTTAAGGCCGGTCCTATACTTGTTGATAGTGTCCATCATCATCATCCACTTGCCCTTATCCCCTATGGAGGGTCGGCACAGAATGTGCTGCTCCATACATCTCTATCAGTCGTCATATCTGAATCCACTCCTTTCTTAAGCATATCCTCTTTCACACAATCCATCCATACTTTCTTCGGTCTTCCTCTTCCTTTGTAGCCATCCACATTCAATCTTAACACTTTCTGGTTTATGTCCCCATCATTTCGTCACGTAACATGTCCATACCACGCTAAACTTTTGCTTCTCAATTTCTCCACCACTGGCGCTACTTTCAAACTTCCTCTAATGTACACATTCTTAGTGTCCAGATAGCTTAAAAATGACGTCACATGATATGGAAACAAAATCCGATATTTTACACGTTGGATTGTGAAACAATTGACAATTTGGTGGGACAGGCTCTGAATATTTAAAAATTAGGTAACTATGACAAAAAACTCGATCATCGTTCAGTCATCGAAATAAATGGACTATTGTTACCTATGACATACTAATTAGAAATTTGATTACACAATACATTATGCCTTTAATAATAGACCTTATTGGTACGTAAATATAGCCATCTTTCATCATTCTACTTCATCATCATCATCCTGATCCTACTCGCGTAGTACCATACCTTTTTGATCATTTTACCTTTCACGCAATACTTCTCTTTCTATGTCTACCTCTGACGGTGTATCTCCACATTCATAACTAACGTCCGTCTTGTTACATGCGATTCTTCCCTCCTCATAACATGCCCCCATACTAACTCTACTCCTTACCTTCTCTACCACTGGGGCTACCTACAAACTTCCTCTAATACACTCATTTCGTATCTTATCCTAATTTAAGTCCCGAAGGAGGAGAAACATAGGAAGGGGAAATATCCTTTTTACGTGCGTCTCCTCCTCTGTCGGATAAGGGTAGGCAACGCATCTGCAATTGTGGATGTCTATGGGCAGCGATCGCTTCGCCATTTTGGCGGATTCAGTTGGCCGCTTGCTCGTTTGCCACCTTATGTTATGAAAAAATGATTATCCATTCGTGTTAGATGTAGTCTCCTTTCATCCGTTTCTTTTACTGCCCAACATTCAGATCCATACAACATGACAGGTCATTCTTATTAATGATAATAAATACATTATAATAAATGAGTCGAATTCAGTTAATAATTCCATTCTATTATCGTCATGCGAATAATTCTAATTGTAATTCTCAACCTAGAGATATAAATTGTGCATGAATAACGTATGAGAAAGGGTACAAGACGAAATTAATAAATAACTACAAATAATCATTTAATTTCGATTTAAATACTTTTCTTTTTATAATTTTATATGAGATAGCAAACGAGCAAGCGGTCACATGAATCCACCGTAATGGAAAGCGACCGCTGCCCATAAACATCCGCAATTGCAGCGTTGCCTACCCTTCATTGACGGAGGAGACGCACATAAAGAGGACGTTTCCTCTTCCTATGCGTCTCTTCCACCATCAAATCCACTTTTCCTTCCAATGCTTCTTAAGAAAACGGTGGAAAGGGAAAGGGACTAAAATTAACCCTCCGGCACCACACTCATCAGAAGAAACGCGGAATTGCTTCCATTTCACGCCTGTCTTCTCTGTAGTCGTGGTTTGAATGGTAGAAGATTTTTTTTAAATCGGCCCATAATTCAAATACATTCAAAAATACAAATGTTTCCTCTTTATAATATTGGTAGGTATAGATTAATGCATAATGGTTTAAAGTTTACTGGTGTCTAAAACTTAAAAAAGGAACAATATTTTTTTTAAATTATCAACTATTTAATCGTTTTTGTTTCGATTTGAAAATTATGATAGAAATTTAGCACTAGCTTAAATACATTTTTATTAAAACTTTTTGTTTTTATAATAGGTTTCTCTAACGTCCATAAAAAATCTATTATACGTTCTGTCGCCGGCAGAATACGATAAATGTATTCCGCAATGAACTCGGCCATGTTTTTATGGCGTCGGTAAATCCCGCCAAAACGACTGCAGCGCAAATGTCAAACGCAGAGCGCTATTATTTCTACTTTTTCTGACTTATTGAGATACAGCGGAAATTCAGTAAGAAGTAGATATTTTCTAGACTTTTTTATTTGTATATCTATCAAGTTTTTCACTTAGAATCATTGTCAGTTTGCCTGATTTTTAAATAGTTACGTTAAAATTCTTTTGTCAAAAACATCTGTGCCGTAAATGGGTTCAGGTCACGTGGCACTACTTACCCTGATACAAATGTATTTTATTAAATCTTACTAATATAATTGCGAAAGTTATGTTTGTTAGAGTTAATCTAAACTGCTGAACGGATCTCGAACTTTGTTATACATGTAGAGGATAGTTCAGAACACAGACAACTTACTTTTGTTTGTTTCAATTCCACGTGGATTCGTGGTCTAGTGAGATATTTTTTGTTTTAGAATGCAACCAACAGATGGCGCTAATTCGTAATACTAAATCGGGGTTTTAGATTTTTTTCTAATGTCATTTGTAAATGAAAATTAACATTTAATGTTTTAATATTTTATTACACTATTATTTAATTACAACTTAACAGACAAACAATAACAATATCATCATCTCCCCTGCCTTATCTTACTCCCGTAGGGTCGGCGCTCCGGGTTTTCGTCCTCCAAAGCATTCTATCATCCGTCATCTCAGTCATCACTCCCTTCTTGATCATGTCACCTTTCACGATGTACCCCTCCACATTCATAACTAATATCCTTCTTGTCACATGCGATTCATCCCTTCTCATAACATGCCCATACCACTCTAAACTTTTACTCCTTATTTTCTCAACCACTGGGGCTACTCTCAAACTTCCTCTAATATAAAAACAATAACAATATATTAAAGAGAATTACATTTCTATGTACTTTCTACGAACATACTATGTGCACAAATGGAATTCATTATAGTTTTAGAGCGTTTATTTACAGTTAAAATCGAGTAGCGTTCACCTCCAAGCTAAGCGAGAAAGTTGTGCGATAGTTTAGTCGAAGATACACGCGCTCAAGTGTATGGGAAAATTGAGTATAAACTACATCTATACAAAAAGATAAGCTATTTTCTATCGCTTATTTCAACAAAAAAATAACATTTTTTACAAATGTTTTAACAAAATAAAATGCTATGAATGTCACAATATGCATTTTTAAGCAAATAATATCAACTTAAAATAAACTATTATTGTAGATTAATAAAATATTAGAACACAACCCTTTTTAATAATTAGAACCGTTTTTATAAACAAAGGTTACAAATTATGACTTTCGTAATTCAAAATATAACCGCGACACAAAAAATTAGCAAATTTTACTAAGTTAATAAAATTTCTCTAACCAATGTATTAGTTTTCGCACGCGACTCCGTTCACGTGGAATTAAAAGAAAGCAATCCTATTTGCTATCTATATTTGACAAGTCGAGATCCCTTCAGCAGTTTAGGCTACAAACTCTAACAAACATCCATCTAAACTTTCGTATTCATATTAATAATGTCACCTAACTCGAGATTACTTAAAAACAATCCTTCGGAAGTTTAAAAAAAGTTGAATTTGCCAAAAAAATTTGAAAAGATTTATTTTTAAATTGACACTAATACAAATACGAAAATCAGGATGGATGGATCGTTTGTTTGTCTACAAAAACATCTGAACCGATGTCAATCTTACTAATATTATAAATGTGAAAGTTTAGATGGATGTTTCTAAGAGTTTGTAGCCTAAACTGCTGATCGGATTTCAATGAAATTTGGCATAGATGTAGAGGATAGTCTGGAAGTACAAATACCCACTTTTGATTTTTTTAATCCACGTGGACGAAGTCGCGGGCGAAAACTAGTATGTTAAGGATAATTACTACTTTTATATTTTTTTAATTCCACTGTTTACGTAATTCATCTATACTATTATAATAAAGCTTAAACACACACTACTTTGTTGCAAGATGTCAGCAATCACAGCGCATTTTTGAATAGTCCCTTTTTTAATAAAAAGCCCTACACTTTCGTCACGCTTTAGGCTATATATTGCCACGCCATTAAACTTAGAGGGTAAATATTTTGGATAAAAACCCTAATGTGGGAAAGAAACCATAAGTTGCTGCCAACATAAAGAAGCAAGTTTGCTAAGTGTTGTCATGTCATTTTGACATTTGCTATTGATAATTTGACAAATGTAAACAATAAAATAAAATGTTCACAATTTGCGGATGAAGCCGCACGGGAACAGCTAGTTAAATAATACAACAGTATGGCAGTATGTTTTATTTATAGTTTGCAGTGGCGGCCCTTGCGCGGCACGCCGCCCAGCGCCGCCGGCAGCGGGTACAGCCGCCGCCGCGACTTGAACTCCACTAAATCTTCTATTCTCGTTGCCTGAGCCTTATCCTGGAATAAAAAAACCATTACAATCATATACATATTGAAAATAAATATATAATTTCACAATAGATTCTAGTTATATTTTAGTAAAAATATTACTAGAATCTATAATCCCCCCACCCTATAAAAGCAACGAAAAATGTTAAATATCCAAGTTAATAACTTAGTTACAACTTAAAGTACTTATTATAGCAAAAATCTATGTAATTAATTCTCTTTGAAATAAAATATGGGATTCTCAATAATAACCCCTGTTGAGTATTGGCCTTCTCCCTACATCCCCCTTAATCATCGCCCCCATTGAATATCTGCTGTCCCCCTTTAACATCTAACGTCCCCCTCATGATCTACCCCCTTAATAATCGGCTTGCCCTCCTAATCAACCTAACTATCCCCTACTTTGTTCATCAGCCTATCTCTTTCTTAATCACTACCATTAAATGTCTGCCTACCCCCATTTATCATCCCCTCTTAATCATTGCTCCTTTTAATATATGTCTGCCCCCTCAATCATCGCTCCTTTTAATATCTGTCTGCCTCCTCAATCAACACCCTTTTGAAATCTGCCTGTCCCCCCAATTATCACCCTTTTAATATCTGCCTGCCCCCAATGATAATCCCCCCTTGATCATCTCTCTACTCCCATTGATCATCACCCCTGAATATTTCTCTGCGCCATAATTATCCCCTCTTAACAATGTCAGAGCCTTACCTGTTGGTTATCCTCGTCTTGTTCCTTGTCTTGTTCGTTGTCAGCGTGCGCCGCGCCGCCGCGCGCCGTCGACACCACCTGCACCGACAGCTTCTGTCTGTCGGCCGACTGCGCGCTTATGTGCTTCTATACATATATACAAACATTCATATTTATGAAAATAATTTTTAGTAATAAATTTAGGTAAAAAACTGTATTTTTAATTTAAAGAAAACGATAAATAATCTTTGACATTATATACTCTTTGACAAAATCGAAGATCGTCATAGATTATAACACAAACAGAAGTGACTGCCTATAAATAGTACCTAAATTTCAACTAACCTTATAAAACTGCAGTAATTCTTCTTTAGTGATTGTATTCAGTTGTTCCACTTCCATACGAGGCCGGTCGAAATTGTACACCTTTATAAATATAAAGCAATTTGACATTATTCAGTTATATGCGGACATCTATTACTAAAAATAGACTGTACCCATGTCAGGGAATGAACGCCTCTCGTTATCGGTTCAATTGTTTACGATACAAGTCATAATGGAATCGACAAACGCACATTAATTCCTTATCCGCCTAAATATCGAATAACGTCATTTAAATATGTAAAAATTAAACTAATTACTTTCAAATTATGAAGTCCATAAGATAGTAAGCTTAGCTTACGAAACGAAGTACTAAAGATTCATACTTCGTTTAACTTCGTACTTAACCACTTATAAGTCAGTGAAGTTTTTTTTTTATAACATAGGGTGGCAAACGAGCAAGCGGCCACCTGAATCCGCCAAAATGAAAAGTGATCGCTGCCCATAGACATCCGCAATTGCAGATGCATTGCCTACCCTTATCTGACAGAGGAGGAGACACACATAAAGAGGATATTTCCCCTTCTTATGCATAGAGATGCTTATACATGCAGTAGAGTATATAAGAGTTGTATATAACCTGTGTGACGATCTCTGCCCACATGCGCCGGGCCTTGGTGGCCATGCGCTTGGGGCGCTCCAGGCGCTGCGCCGCCAGCGTCGACCTGTGCTGCAGGAACTGCTCCTCGCTCATCTTCTCCAAATCCTCCTGCATACACAAATATTCTAGTTTCAAAGTTAAGGAAAGCGCCATCTAGTTTCAAAATTAAGAAAAGCGCCATCTAGTTTCAAAATTAAGAAAAGCGCCATCTAGTTTCAAAATTAAGAATAGAGACTCTAGTCTCAGAATTAAGAAAAGCGTCCTGTTGCTTGAACATTAAATATAGCGCCCTCTAATTTCAAAATTAAAAATAGTACCTTCTAGTTAGAAAAGTATATCTTTAGACTGACCTCCGAGGACCTGAGGAAAGCCTCTATCCTCTCCTCCACGTAGTCAGGATGGCGGTCGCTCTGCACCACCAGCCGCAGCCCCTGCGCGCCGTTGGAGCGCCGCACGCCCGTGAACACTATGTACCCTAATTGCTCCTGTCAAATACAATAACAAAATATCATTAATTAACAACATACTATATGTCACTTATAGTCGCTAATTAGCAATGACTTCCTATACTATATCTACAGTTATCTAATGTTTGACTGCCTTAAGGAACACTCAAGTTAATAATTCACTGTTAGTTATGTTATACAAAAATTAAAGATGTCTCTTAGAGACAGAACAAAGCTCAGTTGTTAATCACTTTTCTCCTTACACTGTTTACTCTATGATATATCAAAGAATAATATATCAAAGACTAGCTATAGTCACAATATAACTATTTATGCCTAACACCAACCTGTCTCTCAGAGGTTTACCTTAGTCCTGAGCACGTTGAAGGCTGGCTCTGTGAGTGCGTGCGCGACCAGCTCGAGGGCGACGTTAGTGCGCGCAGCACGCGGCCCGCACGCGTAGTACACGAGGGCGCAGGACGACTTGTGCACATTATTCTCCGTGCGACGGAGGAACCAGGAGCCTGTGTTTTTATGTGTTATGTTAAAACATGGCTATCTCTTTCATTTATTACGAAACAAAAATTAAACAAATTTATCTATTACTTGCTTCGACCAATAGCTAACCTATAGCTCGTTTATAGCGAGAGAGTTTCAAAAAAGAAACTTTTTAGCGATATTTCGCTACTACCATAAAATATAATATTAAAAAAACTATAGATATATTACAGTAATAAAGAATACAAAAAATCGTTGGCATGAAGATATTGCTTGTTATGTAATATTTTAACTCACCTTTGCCTAATTCCACTTCACGATACAACGTCATTTCCTGCGCCAACAGCGGCTTGGCGTCTTTTGGTAACCTGCAAATAAAGTAAGCCAGGACAGTAAGACAGTAGAGCTGGCATTTTGTTGCTCACTGACGCTAGATAACGTCTACATTAAGCAAACGCGGATTGATATCTACTGTCCAATTGTATTGACAGAGTCCAGTAAGCCAGTAGCCAAAATCATTGCTATACACAATTGAATTGATATTAACCAATTCAGTACAATTAAGTTAATGTTTATACAATTCGTATTGCTTCAACATTATATATAGTGCCGTTATATGGAATTAGTCATTATAAAGTGTGACGTTATATAGAGTTCGAAGTTACGAAGGATGATGTTATATGGAGGTCAGAGATTTAAAAGGCTTACATTATATGAAGTTTGACGTTTATTAGTATGACGCTATATGGAGTCCGACTATATAAATGGTAACATATTGTAACTAGCATGTTTATTTATAAAATTATTTTATTGAAAAATAATTTTGTTAAAGTGTTGAAAATATGTGTAATGTTGATGAATAATATTTAAATAAAGAGTTGAGTGCACTA